TTGGGAGAGCGGCCTCGTTCTCCTCCAAATCTGTACGTAGACAACAAGGCCGCTATTGCCTTGTGTCAGGAGCACAGACTGGAGCACAGAATGAAGCATATCACTCTGCGTTAGTTCCTTGCTCGAGAGTTGCAGCAGCGTGGTCAGCTTCGTCTTGCTTACGTGGCCACTCAGGCCAACACTGCTGATATATTCACCAAGGCACTTCCGCCTGGTGATCATCAGCGTTTCTGTACTATGTTAGGCCTTGTGCCTGTTTCGTCTCACTTGCTCATGTTAATACAGAATCAATTTTCTGTATATCAATCAGTCGGTTTATCTCCTGGGAGGGCACAACTCATTTGAGGCGCATAGCGCAGGGGCGAAACATTCATGATCGAATGTTCAAGGGGATTTAGCTTCGACCAATGGGAGGCGTCGGTTCAGTTCGGTTCGAGCAAAGAACAGCATGGAATTCCCGTTCGCGCTGCGAGTTCGTTGGTGCTCAAAGCGACAGGTTTCGACTGCGTCGATTGGACAATGTTCGCGTAGCAAAGTTCGTCGTTCTGAACACGTAGCCAGAACTGGTTCCGAACAGGTTTCGAACTTGTTCATAACCGGTTCCGAACATGTTCAGAACAGTGTTCGAACAAGTTTGAAACAGGCTTTGGACAAGCTGACGCGGCTGAAGCTAGAGGGCAGCTACACGCGCACTGACATTTCGAGAGCTACACTTTCGCCATCTGGAACACGTCAGCCCAAGAAAGTGCTCACAGCTCGAGCGATCAAAGCACGTGGCGAAACTACTCACGCCACCAGAATTCAAGCGAGGGGATTGGCCCAAATCAGCACGCATGTTCAAAACAATGAAGCTGACTCAAATAAACAAAATGGACTGATCGGAGCTGTTATCAGAACGGCGCGAAAAATCACAATGGATTAACGCCGTTAATAAATTCCGCGCGAACCGCCAAAACATTCGCCGGCGAATCGCAACCTAGCTGAGTCACAAAAATAAAACGAGGGAAACGCGAAAATTGCTCAGCCATGTTAGGTAGGTAGCTGTAGAAACAACTAGAGAATATATATAAATGTATGTCCTGAATATTAATGAAATATACTCTGCCACACATTTACTCTCACACGCTACTATCAGATTTGACGTCCGACCAGGATCTCTGCCTACGCCGTGACAAGGGCTTCCACTGTTGAAACTCTACTCTACTGAATCGCTCTTTCAACAAACTCGGACCCTTGGATAGGGGCTGACGTTAGTCAGGCACCCAAGGACCCTCGGAGGTGACCCCGAGAAGAGTGGTTTAAGTCATTGTAGAACCATCAGCAGAAGGAACTAAGTGATTTTCAAAGGAACAGCTCACTGCATGACTTTGCTTGTACTGTGATCTATATATATGTATATATTTATATATGTGTAGTTGATGCGTATTTTCAGCTAGGTTGTTAAGTCGTTTATGAGCGCGGTGGGCGCCGTCAAGTTAACACAAATTTCGTAAAACTCTATATTTTTTGAAACGATGCTATGGTACCTACATATTAGCAAGTTCTCTAAAATTTCTTATTTTTTAGTTAACTTAACGGCAAGTAGTTTTACCAGCCCCACCTTTCTCATTCCCAATTACAAATATATAGGGTGAACTACTGGCCTTCATAATAATCTTGAATAAATTGATCAAGTAGCCTAACGCCGTAACCTACAGGACCTTTAGGACAGATTGCGGTACCTTTCTTTTGCCAAGCTGTGCCATATATATATATACCTACATGCTTACTCTTGCTAGGTAGTGATCACTGTACTGTTTGCTCTCTTTTATATAACTCTGCATGTGAACTGGCCTTGTGGCCATTTTCTTGTGCTCAGAATGTGTGGTGACGTCGTGATCCACCCTGAGCTTGCTTTGCTTTTCTTGACTGGTCTTGTGACCACTGGTTCTCCCCCACTTTGCCTATGGGGGTGTGCCAAACTGTGTAGGCTGTAGTGCGGTAGCCCATATAGGGTACAACCTAGTTTAGCGTTTGCACTTTTACACACATTCTGCCCAATGCAATCATTCCTGCTCGTTAGTTTCTAACAACAATCGCGTCACTATCTACTCAAGACTCCTGCCGTAACGCACGACTGGCCTTGACTAAGAGCTCTTGAGAGCGTCGTCAACCACCATTCCAATCGTAGGAAGTTCAAGGGCACTCCAATCCCACTTCGTCGCACTCCATTCCCTGCTGTTACGATATGAAATTGTTGCTAATATTCCTATAGCAACAAACTTTTAACGAGAAGATAACTGCAGCGAGGGCAAAGACCGAGCAACACAAACTGTTATAGAAGGCAGTTGCAAGCAGGAAAAACTTGAAGTGCAAAGCGCGGGGAAACTTTCAAATAGTTACCGTGGTGCGAATTGTTACCGAAGCGCACGGTTCTTTTCCCAGATCTAGATTAGGGCGTGTAATTTTTTCACTTTTAGTTGTCCGGACGGATGCCCCGTCCGGACTTTTTTAGGGTTACCGTTTTCGTCAAGCATCGTACAGTTTTTGTCAAACATCGTACATTTTTTCGTACGTCGTCACATTCTGGACAAAATCTGACACCTTTTTGCCAAAAAGGTGTCCGAACTACCCTTGTCCGAACGGCAGTTCGGACCGTCCGCCTTGGCTGCAATATCATTGGCGCGCGACGTTGGTGACAACCACAACCAATACCGTGCCGCGGATTTTGTTTGACGACACTTGCGATCGCTGTACGAATTTTGTTATTCCTGTTACGAATTTCATTTTTTTTGAAATTGGAAAAACGTTTCATATTTTTTCTCCGGACGGGCAGTTGTCCGGACCTGATTCCCAACCGTCCGGACAGAGCTCCGTCCGGCCTGTTTAGGGGCTCCGTCCGAACTTTTGACCAAAACGGAAAAAGTTACACGCCCTTAGCCCTAAGGGGAATGTACCCGCTCAGAGTGCTAGCTAGGACTTTTCGTGTTGCACTGTTTTCCTATATAAGCCCCTGTACCGCACTGTATTAGTCACTTCTGTCGAGATTCAAATCTCCTTCTACTGACACGGTCCGTACGCGACATCACTAGCAAAACCTTCCACTGTTACACTACGTGTGATCAACTTGAGACGATCCGATAACTTCAAATCTGATTGTCACATCGTATGAGAGCCACTCGGGACTGAAGCTGCTACAGCGAAATTATTATTGGCCCAACATCGCGTCGCACGTGCAGCGCTACGTAACAGCTTGCCCAACCTGCCAAGCAACGAATTTCTCGCGACAACGCCCGGCCGGATTGCTGCAACCCCTTGAGCCACCCGAACAACCGTGGCAACAGGTGGCAATGGTTTTCGTTATCAGGGTGTTAAAACTAGGAATGATGTGTGTTAGGTCAAAGGGGGAAGTACAAGTACAATGTCGAGAGAATTGTTGTACCCTCTAAGGCTAAACCCCCTACAGCCTAGAACAATATATACATATAAGTTTGACACACCCCCATAGGCAAAGTGGGGGATAGCCAGAGCAAGCAATGGTCACAAGACCAGTCAAGAGAAGAAGCAAAGCAAAGCAAATCTCGGGGTGGATCTTAAGATCACCACGCATTCCGAGCACAAGCAAGTGACCACAAGGCCATTTCTCATGCAGAGTTGATAACAGCAAGAACAGTACACTGATCATAACCTAGCAAGTGTAAGCATGCAGGTATATTAATATACATCAGTGTACAACAAGGGCAAGGCAAGATCAAGAGACAAGCAGGTGAGGCAGAGTGGGCACAAGCCCAAGAGCAGTGCAGAAACGCTGATGATCACTAGGCCCAAGGGCCTTGGTGAAGACATCAGCACTGTGCAGCCATGGCCCCCACGTAGATCTCAGGCTCACAACTGGAGCTGAGAACAGAAGACGAGTGGGTCGACCTCCAAGAAACTGATCCAAAGCCAAGGCTGAAGGTGTAACCCTGTGACGACTGCTGAGTCACCTGGTCGTCCACCCAAGAAGCGTCTGAGTGTCCAGTGAGCACAACTGGACCCCGTCCTCCAAGCACGAGCCCCATGCCCGATGTATTGCACAAGTAACACAGCACCCTCTTAGCATCCCGCCAGTGCTCTGGTCAGTGTCTCTTGGGCGCAACGTGTAGCGTGCCAGGATGTTGAGAGGGTACGCGAGGTCAGGTTGAGTGCATCAGGTACCTGAGGCAGCCCACAAGCTCTGGATACGGACCACTCGGCTCTACGGACTCGTCTGAAGGTGGAGCTGAGAGCGAGTGGCTTGTACGCAGGAGTGAACTATGGCGAGGAGAACTCGAAGCCGAAGTACGGAAGGACCTGCTGCACCATGTGTGACTGAGTCACGGTGATGGTGTGCTGTGCCCTGTCTCGGGTGATCTGCAAGCCAAGATAGCTGTGCAGCTCACCCAGGTCAGTGCAGGTGTGTCTCTTCTGCAGCTCTGACTTCACAAGGGCCAGTGCCTCGGTGTCAGCAGTAGCAAAGACAAAGTCAACGGCGTACACGAGGATGTAGAATGGCAGCAGAGCAGGGCCAATGCGTAGAAACAACGACGAGCATCAGTCGAAGGAGCAAAACCAAGAGCCGCAAGTGTCGTCCTCAGTGTGTCGTGCCACTCGCGGGGTGCCTGGCGGAGACCGTAGACTGGCTGCCGGAGGCTCCACTGGGTACCCTCAGGAAATGAACCAGTGAAGCCAGGTGGGTGACTCAGCCAGATCTCCTCATGAAGCCTGCCCTGCAAGAAAGCTATAAAGAAGTCGAAGGAGTGCAGCTCGTCGTCACGCTGTGCTGCAACGTGCAGTAACACCCAAAGAGTAGTCATCTTCGGGGTGGGGGAGAAGGTCCGGAAGAAGTCGACCCCCTGTCGTTGACTGAAGCCTCGAGCAACGTAACGCGCCTTGAAAACAAGCGAAGAACCAGGAGGCCGCTTCACTATAAAACTTTAAATGCCATCGACTATGTCCGCCCAAGGAGGAGGAACCTTGTCAACGTAGGTGCCTGTGGACTTTCAGGAAGCCATCTCTGCGTCCATGGCTGTCAGCCACTGAGAGGAGTACTCACCCGTGATCGCCTCAGCGTAAGAGCGCGGGGTAGGGATGTCAAGAGCATCCGGGTCTCCCTCAGGGCAAAGCAGCATGGTAGCGAAACGAGGTAAAGCAGCCGCGAGACACTCAAGCTCAAACTGCCTGTCCTCAAGGACGTCGTTGCCCAGGGCAAGCTCACCCCCGACGGATAGAGGACAGACAGTATCAGACTCAGTAACAAGACTCGCGACGTAGTCGAGACGACGGGTAGCAGCAAAGTCGATTAGCTCAGTGACTAGGGCAAACGCAGCAGTAGACTCAAAGGAAGGGTCAGTGACAACAGTAGCGAGGAGATGATTGACAGTAGGACTAGCAGCACGAGCAAGGTCGGACTCAATGTTAGGAACGTCAGGAATAGAGGACACCAGAGGAGACGGAAGAGTAACATGCTGTGGAACAGAGGCTTGAAAAAGTGTCATAGTGTGCGTGCAGGGACAGGTGGAGGACGAGAACGACGAGCATGACTAATAGTGCGAACAGGGGAGATAGGACGAGACTCAGGCTCACGACTCTTTGCTAGGGAGCCTGTTTGAGCAGGGTAGGGAGAAGGAGCAGGGAGTGGTGAGCCATGCAGTAAGTATGGCAGTAACTGGTCAGGTGGAGGGCACAGGAGAGGCGGAGTAAGACCAGTGGATGGCGGAAGACTAAAAACCTCACAAAGTGCCGAGTCAGGTGGTGGTAGGGACGACTACGGCTGCGGGGAGAAAAACGGTCGGCGCGGCGCAGTACCCGAGCCGTCAGCAACCCTAGCACCTCCAACACCTCTAGCTCCAGCACCTCCAGCTTTAGCACCTGTAGCACCAGCAGCTCCAGCACCTCCAGCACCAGCAGCTAGCCCCGGTACCCCCAGCTCCAGTACCTCCAGCTCTAGCACCTCCAGCACCAGCAGCCCCAGGACCTCCAGCACCAGCAGCTCCAGTACCTCCAGCACCTCCTACGTTAGCACCTCCAACTCTAGCACAGCTAGCTCCGCCACCAGGGCTGCCCCACCGGACAGCCCACTCGCGAAGTCGCTCCGGCGAGAGGGTCTCCTGCCGATGTGTACCAGTACCGCCAGCACTAGCGTCTCCAGCACCAGGACCTCCAGCACCTCCAAATCCAGTACCACCAGCACCATCACCTCCAGCTCCAGTAGCCCCAGCACCTCCAGCTCGAGCACGGCTAGCTCCACCACCAGGGCTACCCCGCCGGACAGCCCACTCACGAAGCCGTTCGTGCTAGAGAGTCTCCTGCCGATGTCCACCAGTACCGCCAATAGTAGCGTCTCCAGCACTAGGACCTCCAGCACCTCCAACTCCAGTACCACCAGCACCTCCAACAGCTCCAACTGCAGCACCTCCAGCTCATCCTGCACCCGTAGGACACTCAGCACCCTCAGAACTAGCAACCCCAGAGTCTGCACCCTCAGTGTCACCACCTCCAGCAGCACCAGAGTCCACGGCAAGTGGCTGGAGAGGCGGTGAAGACGGCCAAGGCGGAAATAAAAGAGGGGTCGCCAACCGCGCTGAGCGGCGAGGGGCCACAGTGTCGGCAGCAGTCGGGTCACCCCCCTCAGCAAGGTCAGAGGTGTTAGAGGAGACCCAAAGGCTTAACCAAGGGGGGTGGGTCTACCTGAGACACACCTGAGGGAGCAGGACCCTGAGGGGGGAGGGGGGGCTACCGGGGGGGGGGGGTCGGGTACCAGGAAGAGAGGTGGGAGGGGCATGGGGAACTACAGTGGGGGTGGAGACGGTAGAAGCAAACAAACTTGTCAAAGGTGACATCCTGGGAGGAGAGAATACAGCGAGTACCCAGGTGGTAAAACTGCCAGGGTGGGTCGTCGATAGGGAAGCCAAGGTTGAGCTGCTCAGCGGCGTATCGGACCGCAAACGACCACAGAAAATGGGGAGCAGCTGCACCACTCATGGAGGTACGAGCAACCTCCATGACCAAGCCAATGCGACGCTCAGCAACCCCATTCTGCTGCGGAGAGGCCAGAACGTGTACGAATGGCGAATGCCCTCAGCAACACAGAAGTCCTCGAGGAGGCGGGAGCAAAACTCACCACCTCGGTCAGAGTGCAGCCGCAGGACTAGGAGGTCCTGCCGGAACCGAGCGCTGAGCTGGCGACGGACAGCACGGATCCAGCGGATCAATACACTGCGGATATCCGCCTTGCTATACAAGGGGAAGACCATGGTGTAGCACGTGTAGTCATTAACAACCAGCAAAAAGTAGCGCTCACCGCCCTGTCCAGTGACGCGGGTTGGACCCCGCACGTCCATGTGGAGGATCTGCAGAGGAGCTGTGGTCGGAGGAAACGAGGAGGAGTGAGGAGCGGCGCGCTGCCGCCCCTTGACGCAGGAAAGGCACGGCGGCGCAAGCGGCCTCGGGAGTGGGGCAGGGACCTAGGGAGGCCAGACACAAAGAGACGGGAGTGCATGCCACGCAGGCGTGACAAGGAGGGGTGACCAAGACGGTGGTGCCAGAGGAGAGTCTGGTGCGTGAGGGACGACACGAACAAGACGCAGCTACCTGACCTGACGCAGCTACCTGACCTGACTCAAGCCACCTGTGCAGACTCAGTGGCCAGTGTGTACAGACCAGACCCGGGCCTCCGAGTGAACGTGGCGAGGTGCTCGCCAGTGCCTGAGTTCGTACAGATCGCCGCGAGCTCTCCCCCAGGCTGGGTAACAGTGACAAAATGGTCATGTAGGACAGCTGTAGCGACTTAGTTCCAAGTGAACGAGGGGAGGTGGAAACTTCTGAGGGAACCAGAGGAGGCTGTAGGACACGGGAGAACAGTGGAGCTACATGCAACAACTGGGCCACCAGAGGGGTCGGCCAGAGTGACAGGGATAGGAAGTGGCGAGATGCGCCTGAGTTGAGTAGGAAAGTGTGTAAGGTCTCCTCAAACTCTGCACAAGTGCTAGCTAAGTCACAAGCACCTAGACTAGTAGCCTCTACACCACCAGGTGCCTCTCCATCCCCAGCATTAGTACCCCAAGCTCCGCCACCGGGGCTGCCCCACCAGACACCCCACTCATGAAGCTGCTGCGGGAAGAGAGTCTCCGGCGGAGGCTGCTGCTGCTGCTGTCCACCCCAAAAACCTCCGCGTCTACAAGCAGCACTACCAGCAGGAGTAGACTCACAGGTTCCTCCAGCAGTAGCACCCCAAGCTCCGCCACCGGGGTTGCCCCACCGGACAGCCCACTCACGACGCTGCTGTGGCGTAAGCAGCTTTCGCCGACGAGCACGACTAGCTACGCCACCGGGGCTGCCCCACCAGATAGCACACTCGCGAAGCTACTTCTGTCCCGTATAAGTCTGACACAGGGCTACCCGATTAACGATTCGGTGCTGGTCGTCGTTGACCGATGAACGAAAATGGCGCATTTTGCACAATGCCACACGACAATCACAGCCGGAGAAAATGCGAAGCTGTTCATCTCGATCAGGTTACCTTCGGCGATCATCAGCGATCGAGATCCGAAATTTACGTCGAAGTTCTGGCAGGAGACGTGGGCACAGTACGGCACCCGCCTGCATCTCTCGTCATCATACCACCCGCAAACTGATGGTCAGTCAGAGCGGACGAATCAGACTATGGAGCAGCTGATTCGCACAAACTGCCTCGACCTGACCAAGCGGGAAGATTTTATCCCGATGCTAGAGTTTGAACATAACAACGCGACCTCCGCGACGACTAATCATTCACCCTTCTACCTCAATTAGGGTAAACCCAAAATCCGTGGTACCATCTTCAACGTCTCCCCAAAATCCGGTACTGCGATCCCAGCAGTTTGTGTCGGAACTTCAGGCAGCCCGCAACAAAGCAGCCGATTCCATTTGGAAGGCGAACACCGTTGCCAACCGCAATGTCGACAAGCATCGAAGGGATTTACCCTTTCGCGACGGGCAGATGGTCCTACTAGAAACAAAAAATCTTCGACTACCCCAGCCAGCCAGGTTGCGTCCCCGCTACGTGGGGCCATTCCGCATTATCAAGATGGTGACCCCGGTCACGGCGAAGCTGCTACTACCAGACGACAGGAATATCCAGGACGCCTTCCATAATAGTCTCCTGCGACATTACGTGGCTCCGCAGTCGTCTGGTATCGCCCACCCCAACGTTGTGCCAAGTGTCTAGCTAGTGGCAGACCCGACAATACAGCTTTGGAAAATCTTAAATCATCTCATGTGAGCGACACCGACTAGACGCCAGGTGGATTTCCTCCTACGATGGGTTGATCGCACAAGTCAAGATAACACGTGGGTCACAACGGACACGCTGCAAGGCCACTTTATATTACGGGATTATCTCTTAAAGGGGGGGGGGGGGGGTAGTGTAAGAAGTTCTGCCAAATTCCTTACTGAGGCACCTTATGCGAGTAAAATTCCAACTTTCAGAATTCAGGATCGGTCCGACGACCTTGCCTTCCAAATGTCCCTTGCGTCGCCTTCGAGCTTTCCAACCCCGAACCTGCACCTGACCATGCACGGTGCCACAGCCTCGACTTAGCTAGCCTTTCGCTATTTCAATGCAAGGTCTCATTATCTGCTGAGTTATTATCATAACTTCTGAGATATTTCATTCTGTGCACTCTCCTCTTTTACAACTCTTAACATCAAGAGTAAGTGCGTTACTTAGTGATATGAGTGGTACTAAGAGTAAGTGCGTCACTTAGCCATATGAGTGGTACTAAGAATATGTCGTTACGGAGACATATCTGTGGTACTGAGAGTAAGTAAGTTACTCAGCGAAATGAGAAGCACTAAAAGTAAGTGCGTTACCTAGCGATATGACTGGTAGTAAGAGTATCTGCGTAATTTAGCGATATGCGTGACACTAAGAGTAAGTGCGTTACTTAGCGATATGAGTGGTAGAATAAGTGCGTCACTTGGCCGTATGAGTGGTACTAAGAATAAGTTCGTTTCTTGGCGATACGAGTGGTACTAAGAGTAAGTGCGTTACATAGCAATATGAGTGAAACTAAACGTAAGTGCATTACTTAGCCATATGGGCGTTATTAAGAGTAACTGCGTCACTTAGCCACATAGGTGGTACTAAGAGTAAGTCTGTCACTAAGCCATATCAGTGGTTGTAAGAGTAAGTGTACTTAGTTATATGAGTGATAGTAAGAGAGTGCGTTTCTTAGCAATATGAGTGGTACTAAGAATAAGTGCGATAAGTAGCCATATGAGTGGTACAAAGAGCCAGTGCGTAACTTAGCGATATGAGTGGTACTAAGAGTAAGTGCGTTACTCAGCCAAATGAGTGGTACTAAGAGTAAGTGCGTTGGTAAGCTATATGAGCGGTACTAAGAGTAACCCGTTACTTAGCCAAATGAGTGGTACTAAGAGTAAGTGCGTTATTTAGCCATATGAGTGGTAGCAAGAATATGTGCGTTACTTAGCGATATGAGGCAATAAGGGTAACTTCATCACTGAGCCGTATGAGTGGTACTATGAGTAAGTGCGTTACTGAGCCATATGCGTGGTACTAAGAGTATGTGCGTTACGTACCGATATAAGTGGTTCTGATAGAAACTGTGTCACTTAGCTATATGAGGGGTACTAAGAGTCAGTGCAGTACTTGCCAATATTTGTGGTACAAAGAGTTACTGCGATACTTAGCAATATGAGTGGTATGAAGAGTAATTGCTTTAAGCTTATTACTAAGCCATATGAGTGGTGCTAAGAGTAAATGCATTACTCACTATGTCTTACTAAGAGTAAGAGCGTCACTTAGCTGTATGAGTGGTACTAAGAGTGAGTGCGTTACTTAGCCATATGAGTGGTACAAAGAATAAGTATGTTATATAACGAAATAAATAAAATACTAAGAGTTACTGCGTCACTTGGCAATATCAGTGGTACTAAGAGCAAATGCGATAGTAAGCTATATGAGTGGTATTAAGAATAACTCGATACTTAGCCTTATGGGTGGTACTGAGAGTAAGTGCGTTACTTACCCATATGATTGGTACCACGTGCGTTACTTAACGATATGAGTGGTACTAAGAGTAACTGCGTCACTTAGCCTTACAAGTGGTACTATGAGTAAGTGCGTTACTTAGCCATATGAGTGGTACTAAGAGTAACTGCGTCACTTACAGATATGAGTGATACTAAGAGTAACTGCGTCGCTTATCCATATGAGTGGTACTAACAGTAAGTGCGTTACTTAGCCATATGAATGGTACTAAGAGTAAGTGCGTTACTTAGCGATATGAGTTTTACTAAGTGTAACTGCGTCACTTATTTGCCATATGAGTGGTACTTAGAGTGAATGCGTCACTTAGCCATATGAGTGGTACTAAGAGTAAGTGTTCACTTAGCCATATGAGCGGTACTAAGAGTAACTCCGTCACTTAGCCATATGAGTGGTATTATGAGTAAGGGCATTACTTAGCCATTTGAGTGGTACTTTAAGAATCTGCGTTACTTAGACATATGAGTGGTACTAAGAGTAAGTGCGTTAATTAATATAGCAATTTGTGTGGTTCTAAGAGTTACTGTGTTACTTACCGATACGAGATGTATTACGAGTAATTGCGTTACTTAGCCATATGAGTGATACTAAGAGTAAGTGTGTTACTTAGCGATATGAGTGGTACTAGGAGTAAGTGCGTTACTTAGCCATATGAGTGGTACTAAGAAAATCTGCGTTAATTAGCAACATGAATGGTATTAAGAGTAGGTACATCACTTAGCCATATAAATGATTTTAAGAGCAAGAGTGATATTTAGTGATATGACCGGTACTAAGATTACGTGCTTTACTTAGTGATATGTGTGGTACTAAGAGTAAGTGCTTTACTTAGCGATATGAGTGGTACTAAGAGTACCTTCGGTACTTAGCGATATGAGTGGTACGCAGAGTCATTATGTTACTAGGTGATATGAGTGGTACTAAGAGTAACTACGTCACTTAGCCGTATGAGTGGTACAAAAAGTACGTGCGTTAGTTAGCTATATGAGTGGTACTAATAGGATGTGTGTTATTTAGCAGTATGTTCTAGTTTACTTAGCACTTTCGAATCTGGATCTGGATCTCGCCGCCATGGATTTGCCGGGCCGCTTAACTCGTTCGCATTAAGAGCTCTCTTGGATTCTGCTTTCTGGATTCAACTCTTCGCGGCTCGCAGTTCGATATAACTTTCGTTCCTCCTTAACGGGCATCATATCTGACTCGTTTACGGGCTTCTCCAAGTTTCGGGCTTCTTATCTCGAGGCTCTGCAAGTTAAGCTGCAGATCCCGAGGCTGGTAAGAAATTCCAGT